AGTGCGGGTGGAATTTTTTTTGGGGGTTTTTTTTGGGGCCCCCAAAAAAAAAAAATCTTTGCAATTTTTTTTTTTAAAAAAGCCCCTACCTTTGCGAGTAAAAGCAAAAAAAACTATTTTTTTTTTTCCCCCAAAAAACCAAAAACAATGGAATGGTTTTTTTTTTGTTTCCCAAATTTAAAGGCGATTTGGTCTTATACTTTGGTAATGCTGTGGCGCAATCAACCAATAGTAAAAATTCTAGGCTATAAACCGGAATAAAAAAACACACAAATGTTTTTTCAAAAAAACTAGATTTATCTGGTTAGTAGAGGCCCGAAATCTTTTTGATCCGGGTGAGCGGGTGGGGGTGCTCACGAAAGTGACCCTTGCCCCATCGTACCCAAGTTTCCCGAGCCGAGGCAACTTTTGGTGATTGAACGGACGTGGCCTTAAGGCAACGAGTCAGGGTTCCCTAAAATTCCGCAAATAAAATATTTAGTGGCGACTCTTGTATCTAGCGAAGCAGTCCCATGTTTGGCACTTTCCTTTTCTACAATCCTGTTTTTCCAAAAAACGATTTGCCCGGATTTGGACTATTTGGTTCAGAATTAAGAACCGTGGCAATTTGAGAGTCCTGAACTGTTAGCGAGCCCAAATATGACACAGAACGGGAACTCACCCTTCCCGGGGCGTCGGGAGCGGTCTACAGGGTATGTTTTTTATTGTTTTTTGTTTTTAATAAAAATGTTTCTGTAATACATTTTGGATACATACTTTTGAAGTTGTCTGTCGATCAGTATAGGAAAATCAATTTCATAATTTTTTTTTTTTTTATTTTTTTTAAATTTTATTGACAGGCTCTACAAGGGAGGATTAAGAGGGTTCTTTTTCGAGAACGAATGAACTTGGTTTTGCATGAAGGATTTCTAGTATCCAAAATCGGTGCAGATACATGGGTTTGATGCCCAGAGAGGTCAAATTCATTTGGCACTTCATTTAGGTCAGTTTTTTTGTTTTTTTTCCCCGCTTTTTTCTTATATTTATATCATATGAGCAAAAATGGAAGTTGGCATCATGTAGCAATTAGGCTAAAATAAATCAATCAAGTTTTAGCCGAATTGACGAGATGAATTCTAAACATAAAAAAACTTTGACAGGGACTGATGATGCAAAAGTGAAGACAACAAACTATTGGAGAAATTCTACATTCGAGTTGAACCACATTTAACCAAGACATATGAATTTTGTAAGTTCACTATTGTTTTCAATTTTTTTTCATTATTTGTTTTTGTTTTTATATGCGGCTTTTTGAAAACAATGAACAAATTCATAAACACACATCTTTGTCATTTTGGTGTGAAAACATTCTTGAAAAATTTAAAAAAAAAAAATTAGAAATGTTTCTTCTAGAACAATATTTGTCAAAAATAGTTTTGTCAACAAATTTTTTTTCATTTTCATTAGGATTTTTTGAAATATCTTTCATAGGACTTTGTGAATATATAAACCCGTTTATACACTCTGATTCTGTCAATAATGATTTTGAAATAGTCTTTGAATAATGGATATTCATTTTTAAAAAGTTTTGGGTTCTGAAATGGGTTTCAACTTGAATATATATACCATGTATTGTCCGTGTATAAAATTGATGAAGGGTTGGAGATGTTTCTTAGTAAATGTTTAAGACCCTAAAAATATTTTCTCTAATTAGCTACAACAGCAGGGGTCGGGTCTTGAGAAGTTTCTTGGTCATGGTTGATTCCAAAAACTAATCAAACTTCCAACTTGAATTCATGATATTTTTTGCTGGAATTCATGAATATAATAAGTCGACCCTACACTAAATTGTGTCCATTTTCAACTCTGAACGCAAATGACATATGTTGTTAGATCAGGCATTAAATGACAACTATACACACTATAACAGTATAATTTCAACTCTAACCAAACCAATAATGATACATTTAATGCAATTATATGCAATTCTATGAGATAACAAAGGTCTCAAATCAGGACATATGCCAAAATAAACTATTACTCCCTATGAGAATAATAAACTGGACTATAAGGTATACTCCCTATGCCAAATAACAAAGTTCAAAATCAGGACATAAAATGCCAAATAACATTAAAATGCAAATTATATGCAATTCTATGACAATGTGTTTGTGGGTTTGCCTTGAATATGAATGTTTGTTAAAGTTGAATCATGAATGTTTTGTATAGAATATAGGCAAAAGGGTGAGGTGAGAGATGGACACACATAGATGGACATGAGTTAATGAACCCATGCACTAACCTGATTGGCCTATATATAAATACAAAGACTCTCAGATTGGGGACACACTAATAGACCTTCTTGAGTCCTTTAGCTTTACCTTCTATGTCAATAACTCAAATTTTTTTAATGTTTTTTAATTTCGCAAACAGTGGCTTCAAGACCCATCGTTTCAAACACCAAACAGAGGTATTTTACATTGTCTCTTGAATTTCCTTTCTCTGCTCTTTGATCGCTGTTGTTGGTTAATTATGTTTTTTGAATTCTGAATCCTGACGGATTTGTTGTTTGGATTTGTTTGGTTGATAATATTTTTGTATTACTTTCTAAGATTTCAATGTACAGCACACAGTGCTTCCCTTTCTATTTGACATGTAACTTTATAGAGATATGTCCAATTTTGGAGTTAATAATAATGTATTTGGAGTTGAGCCCATCTCAATCTCAATTAAAACAGTGGACGTTTTATTTTTTAGGCTTTTAAGTCTGTAGAAAAATTTGTCAAAAAATTTACAAATAGGGTTTTTGTTTTTCAAGCTTCTTTTTTTTTCTCCTCACTTCCTTGAAAGTTCAAACATTGAGTTTGCATTTGCTTTGATTGTTGAAAACTTTGTTCTTTACCTGCTCGCAAAACTTTTTACTTTATATTGTTGACTGTAAAAGAAATAACATAACAACAACTTTAAAAGATCGCATAAACACGTAATTAAACTAAAATAAAACTATATTTTGGGCGTTGATTGAATTTCATTTGAAAACTCGCGCTATGTTCTTATAAAGTTTAAATTTCAAATCCCTTCATTTGATTGGAAACTCCCACAGCTTCTGTGAACTTAGATAGATGTTTTTGAGTTTGTTTGTGGTGGGTCACCAGCTCAACATGGTTTGTTTTTGGCCTATGCCATTTGTCCTTGGTAGAGAAACAGGATTTTCAGGTTGAAGGCAATAATTTCATTTCTGTAATTTGATAATTTATTTTTAAGACAAGAAGGGTTAGGATTTACAATTATATTAAATTAATAATTGATAATTTATTAAGTAGTATTAAGATTTACAATTATATTCTAATCCAACATTATTTATACGTGCCCTTCAGACACAAATATCCGCTTAATAAATATTGTTATATAGCAAATTCTGTAATGCCCCATTCCACTAACGTTGCTCTGCACGTCTGGAACAAAAACATTGAAATTTCCACACATTTCGATTTTCGTGCAAGGTACAAAAATTGGTAAAGTTTTTTCTTTCATTTTTTTTTATATTATTTCTTTACACATTTAAAAAAAAAAAAAACGAAAGTTTCATTTCTAAACATAAATTTTTTTAGCTTATATTTTAATTAAATAGTCAAAAAATTATTAATTAACCTATTTCTAAACGAAGCCTGAGTATAATATAATTTAATAAAAAAAATTTATTAATAATCTGATTAATTTAATTTTTTACATATATATTCTACTTAATCGTTCCCTAAAAATATGAAAGGTTCTCATAATTAAAAGTTAAATTCGAAATGGATCCCACATGCTGCGAAACAGTGATTCTACACCCGACACAACAGTCAACAATATTGGCGCAATTTATGAGGTTATTTAAGATTTATTTTAATAATTAAGATTAATTTATTTAAATTACATTTAGCAAAGTAATTTTATGTATCTAAAAATATAATAATTAATATGTATATACATAAAATGTTGGATTTTTATTGTAATTTTATATTTTTGGGATCCATTTAGTATATTTTTGGTTATGTTATTGTATACATATGTTTGAAAAAAATAATAAGCAGAAATGTGATTTTTAGTATAAAATTTAATACAAAGTTTTTTTGATAAAAGAATTTCTAATATCCGATTACATTTATATGTTGGATATTGAGCCCCAATCATTTACCATAAAAATTTGATTATATATTTTTTATGAAAAAAACTTAGAATCCCAAAAATATAATTGATAAATGTTTTTACAATGATGTGAATTGATTTTGGTTAATTATTGATTAAATTATCAACTACTCAAGAGATAACCTCTTTCCACATTATTAGGGATTTTTTATTTTTAATTTTTTAAGAGATCACGTTTAAGGTTCCTAGTATTTCTCATTTTATATTGAATTCATACTAGTGTAATATGGTTGACATTTGTAAAATTAATGAAGACAATATAGTTTTTAAATGTAAATGAAGGAAACACAAGATGTCACATATAAAGAATTGTAATATATAAATTATGTATAATCATATATTATTTTTATCTATACTATTATATTAGAGGCCCTATCTATCTTGGTGTTCTTAAGCTTTTGTCATGTGGCATTTATAATAATTAAGAAAAAAGAGAATAATTA